AGAACTGAGATGACACATCATTGTGTGTAGCGAAACAGGAATGTAGTAAAAGGCTGTTGTAATTACATTTGTTATTAAAATATCATGGTTTTGTTGCTGTTGTGTGTGGGGTTTTTTGGTTTTTTTTGGTGGGTTTTTTTTATTTGTAGTGTACTAGTTCTGAAGTTTATTTGTTCTTTGGAAGTATCCAAAGGTGTGGTGGTTTTTTGGGGGGTGGTTTTTTGTGGGTGTGGTGTGGGTTTTTTTTTTTTTTTTTTTTAAATCTTGGGTATATTTTGCATCAGGGAAATGTCCTTGCTGTGAATTAGAAGAAGGAATTCTGTGGGTGAGAGCGCTCCCCAGGACTTAGCATCTCTGCTGAAATTCCTTTGGCTACCAAGTATCAATTAGAGCTTTTTTTTTTGTTCCAGAACAAACAAATTCAGTGTTCTGAGTTGATGAGAGGTAGGTAAATAGCTTCCATATTCCTCCACTAGATTCTCCTAAAACAATCAGCTGTCCAAAACAGATATTTGGTGCAGATGTCTTATGTGGTCAGGATTAAGGGAGTGCCAAATTTGTAATCACCCTCAGCAGTAATTATGTGTGATTGTGTGTCATTGGGTAATTTGTGGTTTTCCCAATGTGCTTGCTGTTCAGCTTGTATATAAACACGCAGCCATCTGAGATGTGGCAGAAAGTCATGGAAAAACACCAGGGCCTTTCAGAATGGCCAGTCTCTCAGGTTACTAGGGACTTCTCTGCTTACTTACAAAGGAGATGATACTTCCTTTCTGGGGCAAATTTGATAAAAACCAAGCCTCTTAATCTCTGTCAAATGGACTGGTACTCAGCTTTATGTGTCATATTTGTTTAGTTGCTTAAGTACGAGCTCTAACACCATAGTGGTTACATCGAGTTTTGTGATTTCGGTTTAGGAAGTCCAGGCTTTGTTCAGTAATGTGCCACCGTTCCCTTAAACTGTTTCCTTTCCTGTGTTATCAGTTTTATGCGTGTGTGCAATGTTAAGTCTTGGATCACCAAGTCAGTCAGAAAGAACTGGCATTTACGTTGTACTTTTGAGACAAGAGTGTTTAGTTGCTGCCTAAGAAAGACACGCTGTCTTGCTGTGTCTGTACCGGGTTTTTCACCTTTCACACAATCACTTCTAGAGGACGGGGGACAGCTTTGGAGTAATGAGCAATGGGGAGACCTCCATGACACACTGGTCCCAAATGTTCCAATATCGATGCCTAAAAATGGATTCATATTTCAACATCAGAACGGACATATTCTGTTAGAATATTTCATGTGTTGATCTTTGCCTAAAGAGCTAATGAAGAAAAAAAAAAAAAAATTTTTTTCTTCTGCTTTGCTTGGCAGGATCTAGTTTCTGAGGAAATATTCTGTATTTAGAATGACACATTGGTAACTATGCTTGACTGGAGGAATGCCTGACTTGTGTGCTTGACTTCCGCAGTTATTGAGACTTCAGGCAATTTTGGATGTGGATAAACGTGCAATTAGACCTATGAGTTGACTGGCTATATGCGTACCATTAAAGATGCACAAAAGACAAAGTTGTGCCTTCGCTGCTTTTCTCAGACACCGAAAATTATTTTGAGTACTGATACATTGGTCTTTTTCTTTTTACAATGTTTACTTTTAATTTTCTTTTAACTTGACTTTTTTGATGTCTTACCTTAGTTTAATGCTACAAAGCTTTTCAGCATTGTTTAAATGAAAGCTCTTACACAAGGTGAACTTGTACAGTGTGCTACTGTAAAACTGTTAAACCCTTCAAGTTCCTTCAGAAACTTTGCCTGAACTCATGCTTCACAGTTAGTATCTTCAAAGTGCTAAGAACAATTCTCCATCATGATCTGTATAATTCTTTAACAGTGCTGTAGTTTAGCATTGCACAGGCATTGGTGTTGCAAGACCTGCCTCTGTGCATTTGTTCTACAGAGCCATGTCCAGATTGATGTTGGCAACTTGATTTAGACTTCACAGTTTTTGAAGTTCTTACCGTATCAGTAATTTAACCTTCTACAAGAACTTTCTGTGGTGTTTTGTGAGAGAACTTGCCATTCTTTCCCAAAGTCCTTTTTGGAAGTAGTTCCTAGCTGGCAAGTAAACGTAAAGCACTTCTGGTAATGTCTTCTCACTTTTAGCTGTTCTGAATGCTTTGAAGGCCTGTGTTTACTTGCACTGATGAAACAGTCTTGCTTGGGTTGCACTTTGAGGTAGCAGAATGAGGATAAAAGAAAAAACTTGGTGAAGGCTGTTTCAGCTTTTTTGGCGAGCTGGTAGCACAACAGCGTGTGAAAGACAGTAGATGCTGGGTTTTTGGCACAAGTTGGTGAGCGTTCGGATGGTGAGAATCATCACATCGCAATTTAGACCTAGAATGATGGGCTTGTAAGCTACGTGTGAAGAGTACTGAATAACCTTCATACAACTGAGAGAAGAGCAGATCATGTGGATGGGGGAAGCAATGCCAGCCCAGAGTTGGATGGCCATGGCCATTGCCATTCCAGACGCCTTCTGTGTCAGTGATCAATTAGTTCAGTGTTGGCAAACTGACTGTAGCTGTAGGTTTACATGAAGTACTAGCATCATTGCTTACAATTGGAAGTATTCCTGATGTCCCTCAGATAAGAGCTGACGTAGAGAGACATGGTTGCTGTCTTACACTGGGAGTGTTGGTATCATTCATGTTGCTGCTGTTTGTCCCTTAGAGGAGGTCATTATTACTGAAGATGTGAAGATCCTATTCCCTCCTTTCTGGGGCCTTGCTTGACCTCAGGGGAAGCTGGTGAACTCCGGCCTTGGTTGCAGAATTGGCTGGGGAGATCCGCCCTCTGCACAGCTCCTGTGGAGTTCTTGGTTCTGTCCTGACAGCAGATAACTCTGTACTTGATGCTGAGTAGGCCGTACTCCCTTTCTAACCTCTAATCTAGGTGCCACTTCAAAGATCTGCTCTTTACTGAGCTCACACCAGAGGGCAGCCAGAGCCTTGGCGTGATCCTGCGGCATGCTGGCACGGGCTCGGGCTTGGCATCCGCACACGCCGCTGGAGCGAGTCCTTGCTGCCTGCGGAGAAACAAGGCAAAATTCTCATCCGATCTGAACTGGATGTGCTGTTTTAGCTTAGCTGAAGTAATGTTGCTTTTCAGATCTTTATTTTATAGGGAAAGCAAGCCTTTCCAAAGGATTTACTGCTCTAGAGTTGAAAAATGTAATCCCTCAACTGACAGGGAATAATGGAGCTAGTGGTTTTACTATATGCATAAACCCCATTCTATTATACGCTTTAGAACAATGGTTGGCAGGGGATAGATTTGAAGGAAAACAATTTGGAGATAGCTTTATTACAGGCGTTTGCTTTAAAGAATACCCAAAGGAGGATGGTATCAGGTGGAGTGGTAGGAGCGGGAGCGTGGCAGGATGAAGTATGTGGAGGAATGGTGAGTCCTTATAATGGCTCTTTTGGTGATAGTGTAGCATTTTAGTAAATAACATTCACAGATAAATGGCTCAAATGAAAGCCATAAAAACCCCCCGCCCTTAAGACAGTTTAATATTCTAGGAAAGGTTTTGTGTGATCTCTTGGGTGACTTTCAAACAAATTAAAACCTACGCTTAGCAAAAGGCACTCATAAAAAAAGCCCCCCAAGCAAACGCCTGTGTGATTATAGTAGACTTTAGTGATGGCTGTTGTTGAAACTCCAGTGAAATAAAACTTTGGACTGTTTAAAAAAGAAAAATGTTTAAATTATATGAAAGATAAGTACATATTAACTCTTATAGGGCTTGGAAAGCACTGTATGGTTGTCTGAGGCAGCACTTCCATGTAAGTTACAGCTGTATTAAATTGGCACCACTGCAGTTTTGTGCTTTTCTTTCACCCTGACTCCATAATTGTACCCCATTTTGTATGCTGGTACTCAGCTGATCTCTTTGAGTGGTTTGGGGCACTAAACTAGCAGAAATCTATTCATTTTTTTCCTTTTGGTGTCTGTCTATTTATTTCTTTTTGGCTTAGCACCCTGAACCAGCTTGCTGAGCTAGATGAATGCCATTACTGGCACAAGGA